CTTTCCTACTCTCCACAGAAGTGTAAGTATAGTCTTTCACATTGGTTTCAGTCTCCTTTAACAGAACATTTCAATAGTTTTATATAATCATAAGCATTCAGGACTCCCTTGTATTTCTTTTCCAATTAATATATCCTGTTTTTGTTACAGCCTAATTGCTACATTCTCTTTAACCTGCAGGCTGCGGTGAGCTGACTGCAGGATACCAGCAGCTATTCAGTGTTAGGAAACAGGTCTGAAAACATAAATCATTTCTTTCTTGGCATATACTAGACACAGTCCAGGATATGTTTGCATTAGCAGTTGCCATATTGCATTAAGATCTGTGGTGATTAGATTTTCAGTAATAGGAGCAGGGCAAATGTATTATATAGTTAGACAATTAAACATATTGTCAGACTGAGAGTGAAAGGATGTGGTAAAGGAGAAACAAGGGATAAGACAGGCTTTTCTTTGGAAGGAGCAAATGTGGAGAGGTCGTGTTAGAGACGGCAGGAAGTTTAAACAGAGTTTAAGGCAGTTGCTTGAGGAAGCACCCTGACAGGACAGTGGAAATCATGTAAGCAGAGAAGGTTTCTTGAACATGTTATGGAAGAGTGAAGGATCAACTTGCTTGTGAAACACCAGTAAACAATTTGAGCTGGATTAGGGTGGGCAGAGAGATGCCACAGGATCTGGTGTTGGAGTAGGTGAGAGGTACTGAGCTGCAGAAGGCAAGAGAAATTTGAGAAAGTGCGTTTAGCCTTGAGAAAGAATAATGACAGAGAAGTGACTCGGAGTAGAGGAGATTTGGTCCTGATTTAGCACAGTTTCAGTGAAGCTGTGTTTACCAAGAAAGACTGGTAAAAAACTGCTAAAATTTTTGGACCCGTTGTGACTGTGTATCTAATGACTCACAGTTGTCAGCATTGTTTTCCCTTTTCCTTGCTTTTGATTCTTTCTTTCCTTTCCCTCACAACTATGAAAAGCTCCTTGAAGTTAATGTAAAGACTTTGGTTGATTTTTAGTGGACTATGGATAAGCCTCTTCTTATGTCATGGCTGAATGCTGATTTCTGAGCTGTTCCGGTTCCAGGCGGCATTTATTATTGCATGTTATTATTTGAGAAATAATGATTTTAATTACTTTCCAGAAAGGATGATACAAAAATAATCTATATTATTTTACTTCTTTTAATTGGAGAACTTTTCCATACTGTAATGTGCCTGAGTAGGCCTATTCCATCATGTTCTCCATTTTATTTTAAAGTAACTTGAAGAGCTAATACTTAGTTATTGGGCTATTTTCCTTGATCTCCGTCCACAGAGATTTGTTTTTAAAAAATACTTATCTTATTTTTCATAGCTGATGTGACTGATTCAGATTGGATTATTTCATTTGACCCAAACCGGGGCTGCCGTTCGAAGATCTAACCAATCTGTGGGCAGCCCTTTTTCTTTAATAGCAGACTAATTGGCAGACCAATTAATCTGCTCATCTGTGAAAAGAAAATTTATAGCAATAAGTAGTTCTATTTCCAGAAGTCATTCTTTAAAGTAACATTACAGTGGCCTTGTTTACTTCATGCCCTGCAACACGATCCAGTGCTTCAACAGTAGCACAGGTCAATTAGTGGACAAATTAAGCAATTATTAGCCACTAACAAGGGTGACTGGCATCATTACCCTTCCTGTTTACCAGCAAACTGTTATTTTAATACAAAGATCAACAAATAAATTAGGGCATCTGTTGTATTGCCATGTCTGCCTTGAAGTAAATTATATTAAATGGGCTTTGGTTGCTGCCAAATTCTTAACCCCGGCCTAATGAGATACACTGATATGTCTCTTGCTGATTATAAAAGCTGTAAAATTTAGTTTGTATTGATTTATTAACAGGAGGACCAAGTTCTCTGCGATGGTATTTTTTTAATAGTCTGATATCTGTCTTTTTACTTTAAATGTTATTGATCCAGAGACTATTGGGTTCCTCTGAAAGACAAAGCTATTTGCTAATTGTATTGATTATTTGGATGCTTACAATAATTCTGTGGTGAGATTTGTATATGTAGATGTATGCTTTCCTCTGATGCTTCTCTTATGTTCTTTGGAACTGCCTTTACTTCCAGGTTAGACTTCCGTGAGTCAGTTATTTTTAACTCTTGCTTTGTATTTTTATCGTGGGGTAAGACTTCTTCAGATTTAATTGACTGTCTCCTAAATAAGAAAATACAGTAAATCTCTTTGGATTGGGTGAACTTGGCTGCAGTACCCCCTAATAGATTGTGGTACGTTGGGAAATGCTGGATCTCGTTTGCCACCAAGCTGCTGGGTGCCCAAGGTCAGTCTCGTCCCTTTAGTCTGGTGTGCCTGGTGCAACAGTGAATCATGCAGAGCAGAGGCTCACCCATTGCGTGTTTATACACAGCCTTCCATGTCATAGCACGTTCTTGGTTAGGGAATAATAATTCCCTGCATGAAGCTGAAAACTGTAGCTTCTAGTTGCCAAGATGCCTTTGCCAAGCTCTGTGAGTGAGGCTGCATCAATAACAGGAGCAAAATGAGCAGAACCTGGACAAGGCTCTTCCCTGGTACAGTTACAGCCAGAGCAAAGCTCTGAGAGTTTGGGCTCTTGTGTTACCTCCTGAATGAAAAGCAGTCGTGTTATCCCCGAGGTATCTGTGGTCCTCCCTGCTGCGTGAAGAGCTGTTACAAGTACATGATTGGTGCACTGCCAGATCTCATGGCAAAACTGTTCCACCAAGGTCTTTGGTGAAGTGATGATCGTGTACACAATGCGATACTTACGCTGCTTTTATTGTGGCTGCTTTGAAAGATCATACCTGACCTAGGATAAAGTAGGTTCTGGACATACTGATTTCTGAATAGTTAACTCTTCCAAGTATTCTAGAAAACACAGACTGATGTGATGTTTTGAGTCTAGTTACAAGCCCTTTAAAACTAAAACCAGCATAGTGTCTCAAGAAGCCCTGGACTAAGTGTGGGATTGTATCCCTTTAAGTAGTTTTGAGCCCTCCAGGTGTGCATACTGTGGATTATGTTTTAGACACTGCCAGAAAACAGTTAGAGCAGCAGTTTAACATAGCTAAGCCTTTCATGTTTGCATACAGTTAGGAAACCTGGTTATTCAGGATCCAACTGTGTCCCTGTCGTTTCTTCGTGTTCTTGCTGTTGTATAATGAACAAAAGACACAACACCAGCCAAAAAGCAGATCGATGTTTGGTTTCCTTCATTTGGAGGAGGTAATTGCAGAAACGTTTCCTGAGCAATATAATTATGTATATGCTAATTTGCCTTAGAATTCAGGTTTAGTCTCTTCTCAAGTGGAAGACCTGGTTACAGAAAGGGACTTTCTCTTCTTCAGGATTAGTCACTAATAGATGAAAAAAATGCTGATGTTTAGAGTCAATTATACCTTGATCATTGTAGACATTTCAGAAGCCTCATTTTTCCCCATGTGCCTCAGCAAATTACAATTCATTCCAACAGCAACATAGGCTCTGTTTTGTTAGTATTTGAAATACAGAATGGGCCTTAGGAAATAGGCTAAATGAAGGAGTTGTACAGAATGTGAGATTTTGGTCCCATCTTTAACGTATGTTTCAGCCAAGCTATAAACAAGTGTGTTTAACCTGGCATGTACCTGGGTTTTAATTTGTTTGTTTTTAGAGATTCTGACTGCATCACAAAAAATCAGGTCTAAAGTAAGCTTTTTTGAAGTCAGCTAGTTAGCCCGTACCATCTCTTCTATGCTGAATTGTTGCTTGTTATATCTATTCCCTGGGGCTTTGCCCTGTCCAGCGTTAAATGTTTCCGATGACGGGGTTCCACTCTTCCCCTGGAAAGACAATTCCACAGTCTAATAGAGCTCGCCATTAGTGAAATTTTACTGATGATCAGCCTTAATTTTTCTCTGCTTAATTTTATCCTGTTACTAGAGTGTAGTGATTGATTTATTCTGGGGAAATTCAGTAAATGGTTCCTGCTTCACAGGATGGACCTTACAATAAATAGCAAATTGTCATGACCTATCTGTGGGTGTCCTGAGATTACACAGGAACTCAATTTATCTCGACATTCATTCCCTGGAAGCTATTTCTGTCAGTACCAACTCAGTGGAGGAATAAGCAATGAATTTAACTGCCAGACTGCCTGCCTCCTGCCCCAGCACCAGCCTTGGAGCAAGGAGATGTTTAGCTCCTCCCTGAGCACAAGGCCCAGAGGCAGGAGCTCCTGCGGGGTCTGGTGCTGTGACTGTGCCCGAAGGAAGGGCATTTAGGATCTGATCCCCCTGTCACTTGTCTTGGTTCCACATTAAAGGAGCTTCACTGATAAGGTGGAGTTTTTATGGGTGTAAAGTAAGTGAAGAATCTGACCTTATAAATTCCAGTCTTTCAGTCCCACGGTTTCCCTGTTCCTGGTACAGAGTTTATGTAACTCTCCCAATTTTAGTGAGGCATTTTATACCTCTTTATACATGCAGATGGTCTGAACTCGGTGTTCATATGTCAAGGGTAGGTCTGGGCATATGGTCAAACAAATTTGAGGTGCCTCAGCTCAACAAATTGTCACTCATGAACTGAGCTGTAGTATGTGCCCAAGTATGCATGCTATGTGTGTAAGGTGCTAGGCTTAAACTACTAGGTTTTACTTCATTTCACCACTTAGGAGGAGAAATGTTTTGTTATTGTGGCTCAGCTGATGAGCAGTAACTTCTTCCTCTGTGGAAACTTGACTGTGTCTGATAATGTAGCCACATTGTACTTGCATTATGAGGATGGACTAAGATATTTATCCTTAAAGTTCTTATTTCTGGAGTTTTTAGAAGGTGGCAGGTGCTACATGTTTGTAAGTGGTTTGTTCTGTTGGAAGCAGGAGCAGTGCCAGGAACCAAGAGGAATGATCGTTCTAATCTTTTATATGTGAAATTTCAGGTAGATATCTGGAAATCATTGATGTCATAAACCCCCCTTTTCCAACTCTTCTTTCATTTTTCTCAGGTATAATTGATTTCCTTGTGAGCCAGCATCCTATTGCAAAAGTACTGAGAGACCACCTGGTCTTCAAGATTGCACCCATGCTCAATCCTGATGGAGTATACCTAGGAAATTACAGGTATGGTGCGGAGTATGAATCTGCATATTGTTATATCTACCGTATACACCCTGCACTGTTTTGTCACTGAATCTTATATGGCTTGTTTCAATTCATTTCTCTTAAACTGGAGGTTCTCATGTGGCCGTATGCTTCCTGAAATTCCCGTCAAGGAAGGGGGCTCAATGGAAAATTTGCTTGCTTCAGGAGGTAGACAGCAACTCTCCAAGATAGCAGGGTATCTGCTCTGCAAGCCTCCTCTAGGTGTGGGAGTAAAGTTAGCTTGGAGTTAGACCTTAGCTGTGTTTTGTAAATGCATTCATTATGCTGCTCATCAGTCTCTATGTAAATGTGTCAGTCAATCACAGTTCCCTTCAACTACCCAGATCATCCATTAAAGTCACAGATTTCAGTCTATTATTGTGCTGTAATAGATAGGGATACGTGGAATGGAATAATCATTCCACCCTATGCTAATTTTGCTTCATTTTAGTATTTGAATTAGTACTTTACCACCTCCTCTGTTGAGAACGCATTCAGATAATCTTTTGTTTTCCCTAAAATTGTTTGCTCTTAATGCATTTATTTACAAAATAAATGTGGTGCTGGAGGTGATAATGAAAAGCAGTTGATTAGTTGATGATTTGTTTGTGGGGGCAATTACATGTACCACATAGTTCTCTGGAGAAGCCCCTGAGAAATGTAATAATACTGTATGTGGTTTTGCTTACAGCACAAGACTAAATAACACAATACACTCTGTAGCCAGGCTACCCCGAGCTTTGATCTAATTAGGTATTGCATTGCTAAGCAGAATAAGACTGGGTTATTGTGTGGATGAGGAGACCACAGAGGAAGAAGCTAGAAGTTGCAGAAAATGGCGCTGCTGGCTCTGTTCTTTGTTTTGATATGTGCTGCTTAGCCCTCCTGTGCTTTGCTACTCACTAAACTGCAATAGCAGAGAATTGCGTGGGTGATTTCAACAGTGCTTATATACATGTTTTACAAGTGAAACTTCCAAGGACACGTGGTCTCTTTCCAGCTACACTGATACTCCCTCAACTCTCGGCAAATCCAAAACCAGGGAGTGATATTGCAGTAGTGGCATCTGACAGCACTAGGAATTTATCATAAAGGTTATGTCACCTTACAGGAATAAAGCCTTAAAATGGGTCTAGAATGTGATACTACATTGCTTTACTCTGTTCCAGGTGCCCTGCATGTAGGCAACTCCAGTTGCAATTAAGTAGCTTTCATTTTCCCCCATAAATTTACTTGCCCTGTACGTTTTTCTCCTGCACTATTATTTATACTTTTTGAGGGGCATGCAGCTTTACAGACATGCATATGGCTCATAACTTGAAAAGCCTTTTGGGAACCCAGGTACTATGAAAGGGCATGTGAATTCATTTGGAATTGCTGAGCCTGATGGTATACTATTGTTTTAGCTTTTCATGATATGCAGAATTTTCAACCCTCCTGAACTAAAGAGACTTCTAATGAGGTAGTTGGAAAAGCATTTGATTTTCTTGCAATTCTTCACTTTATTTACAAAAGATCTAACGTAACTAATAACTTAAAAATGAGGGTAATAAGCAAAATGCTACCTATTATCTTGAGAAGAATATTAAAAAGCCTAGTAATGTGCCGGCGTTGTAGTTAACTAGTGCTGAGTGAATAATTTACAGCAAACACTTTATTTCCTGCTCATACAAAATCCACAAGCACATCACAATTTATTTGCTTGAATTTAGTGGATGAATTTTAAAAAAATCTCTAAGGATCAATTGCTAGTATTTGAAAATTTAACTCTGAGGCTTCTCTGTGATTGGCTAGATAAGTCTGTTTCATCTCTTTTGGTCTTTGTTCAGATTGGCACATAAATAGGGCTTTCAGAAGTCTTCCATGTAGCATGGTACAATACAGATCTACTGGCTGGGGACAATCCCCCTCCTTTTGCGAACAAGGTCTGTGGTGCCATGTGCAGCAAGAGCAGTTTTAGGCATTTGAACTTCCTGTTATCTTCCTCTTTCTCAAACCAGCAGCTAGTGACTATTTCTTTGGTTCATTGAAGGTTCACATTCAGAGCTATGCAAGCTAAGATAATGAAATGGGTAATTAAACCTCATGCTTGAGTTTGTAAATTGATCTCCTGCCAGTGTGAGAGAGATTTTTTTTACCCCACCAGTACACAGCTCTGTATAATTGGCAAAGTATACTGTCGGATGCACTTTGCTCTCCTCTGAAATCCCAGGCGCAGTGGGCACCTTTAAAAGCCTGGGTATGTCAGCAGTTCTCGTAGAAGGGATGGGATATACTAGTTCTCCTGTGATCAAAACAGGAACTGACCACTCGTTTACCCAGGATGATATGGTAACAGTTGGCTAGGGGGATTTTCTTCATTGTCATTTTGGGGGATGCAGGACTTTCACCAAGGGTTTGGGTCCTGTGCTCTTCTCCAAAATCCTTGTTCCTTTGTTCTGAGTGTTTATGAACTGAGGTTTAGGTGTTTAAGCCAAAACTGCAACAATAATGCCAAGAATGTCTATTATCTTTAAACTGTTGCTCATTCTCAAGAGAACAGACCAAATGGGTTATGACTCTAAAGGAACTTTTTTGTGGTGAAATGTGCATAACCAGCAACAAGTGAGTTTAATATCACAGCTATAAAGCAGAAGTGCTTGTGGCACAGACACATCTGTGAGGAAGGTGCTTTATATGTTGCATGTATGTTCAGGCGGCTCTAAAAGAAATGGTCATGGAAATGAACGTCAATGCCCAGTGTATCAGGATGCATGGAAACAGGGTGCTAAACTTTGCTGATTTATTGAAGTATATGCAAGAGTTTAAGAAGTATATTTGTGGACCCATACAGTTAGGAATGAAAAGACAAGGTACCTTATGTGACTTAAAGGGGTGGTTAAGCATCCCCTCTAATTTAGAATGTTTGGAAGGTCTATACACAATTTTAAAAAATATTTTTTAAAAATAAATGGACAAAAGTTGCAATTTGATTGTAATCTTAGAGCATAAATTTTTTAATAGAAAGTGAACTAGTATGGTTCTATCTCTTAATAGCTATTACTTACGTACGTAAACCAAGAGAGTTGGTGAAATTACCTCTACTAGACTTTATTACCAGTGAAGTTTCTGACTGACTGTTTAGGAATCAGAACATTTAATTTTTGCTTTCACCTGTTTCTTTCTGAAAAGAGCTGAGAAATGAAAAATCACGGGCAAACCACACTACAATAGATCAGAGTTGGCTAGATAAAAGTGTCGGAGGGGTTAGGTGCAGAGAAGTGGAGCCCTCAGAGTGCAAATTCACCTACAAGCCAAAGTACTGAATGGCTAATTGGGATTGCTCCTGCTTGCAGTGCTAGCTGCTGTTTGCTGGTTTGCTAGCATCATACCCTTCTGTGAAGATGACTAATACACTGCACTCTTTCTTCAGTGGAAAAAACCCTCCACAGTCCTTTTCTTGCCACATTAGTATACCCAGCTCTTTCTAAGATTCAGGATAATGATAGGTACCTGCTGTTTACTGTGGTCAAGGATGTAGGGTTTCTCCCAAAACAGGAAGACAGGCTTCATCCCTTTCTTGAAGTATTTAAAGCCTGGTATTACTGTACTTCTAAGTGTAACTGGCTTTGCTGTTACAGTATGTAGAAAATGTTATGCCACATGGGCCTGTTAATTAAATTGCCCAGGAAGATGCCATTGGTTGACCTAGCTAAAATAGTGAGTCTTCAGCATAATTTGCCCTCTGTTCTGGCTGGTAACTTGTTCTCAGCTCTCACCTGAATTGAAAGACCGCTTTTGCTGGGGACGGTGCATGACTTGATCTTTAGCTTTGTGAAAGAACATGGCAAAAAATAAAAATATTTGTGAGTTTCTCCATAACACTAATCTCACCCTCTCTGATGGATTAAACTGTGAAACAGTTTTAGGAAATAAAGGAAAACTAGTGCTGGGAAGAGAGATTTCTTGACTTTTCTCTCTCTGTTTGCGGTATAGCATTATCATTTGCTGAACCTATTGCCATCCCCAGGGAGGTGGGTTTAGACTAAGAAAAAAAATGTGTTCTTGATTTAAAAGTCGTGCATCCCCAGGCTTGGCCTGAACTTTCCTTTATTGAGAGCTTGTTCTTAAGCTGGCATTCTGCAGCTGAATGCTGAAATGTGTCCCTGCAGGCGAGATGACTGTACCACAGCATCTTAGATTAGTTCCAATTTGTCAGCCTCACCTTCCGGAGATGAAACCCTATACTGGCACCAAAAGGGATGTGCTTCTTAGTCTGGGCAGCTCTTCACTGAGGTATCCCAGAAATGCCATGACAAGGCAGTTGAAATATCCTGACCGTTCTCTAAAGGCTTTGTTGCATGACCCAGTAAGGCTTCCTGTTCCTTGCCGTTTCTGTGTTGCTTTCAGTTGGTTAGCTGTGACAGTATCAGCCTTCAGTAAATTAAAGCCATGAATTAGCTGAAATGTTCTGAACTGTCATCGCTACAATATCCTCTAGCTTGATTGTAGGGACTGCAAGAATTTGTGTGAATGGGGAGAAGAGGGCACACACTGATTCTAATCCTTTCTTGTTTCACTATCAGATACGATATTTTTGAAGTCAACACAGTCTTTACTGCTTGCTTGTGTGAGGGGTTAACAAAGCAATTTGTTGGATGGAAAGGAGGCCAGTCCTACCCAGACTGGAAAGCCAAATTCACCATAAACAGTGTCAGAGTCCATATTACAATGAAAGCTGTGTTGCGATGAAGTGTTTTGGACAAATGGTATATTTTTGCCCCAGAAACGTAGTTTTGTAAGGACTGAAATGGTTTGTGGAAGTGAGTTGAATTTGGCAAGTTGTTTCAAGTGAAAAAAGGGAGCTGGGAAGGCTTGAGAAACATTTAAAATGATTCATATCAGCATTTTATAAAGGACAATCTTCTCTTGTTTTTGTTTGTTAATAGCATGATTTGTTTAAACACTGGCCTTTTTTTAAAGATCCCTTTTGAAGAGTC